CAAAAGGAACAGTCCAACATGCAAATTACAGATTGGAGATACCAAAATCAAACAGGTGCAAAAATTTAGATACCTGGGAGGTATATTAACAGAGAACAGAAATCCAAAGTCACATTGGGATAGCAAAAGATGCCTTCCTAAAGCTAAGCAAAGTATTAAGAAACAGAAAAATATTCTTAGAAACAAAAAAAAGAGTACTGAACTGTTATGTAGTATCAGTCCTATATGGCAGTGAATGCTGAACAATTTCCTTACAGATGAAGAAAAGACTTGAAATAACAGAAATGTAGTTCAGGATGCTGAGAATACCATGGACTGAACATGTGAGCAATGACAAAGTTTTAAAGAAAATAGAAACAAAAAGGAAATTTATACTTAACTTCAGAAAGAGATAGTTGAAGTTTATGGAGCATATAATGAAGAAAGAGGGCTTGGAAAATTTGATACTCACAAGACAGATTGAAGGAGCCAGAGGAAAGTAATGCGCAACCTACATTGTGAGTGAATAGATGGCAGAGCAGAGTTTGGAAGAGATGACAAAAAGACAATAGTTATTAAGATCTAAGGACAGGAAATTGTGAAGAGCCGTGATCATCAATGTCCTGAAGATACATGTCACATAGAAGAAGAACATTTGAAAATTTTCAGTGAACTAAATCTTGTAATAAATACTTGTCAAAATCTGTTTCCAAGTAATTTGGAGATAACATATTAAGAAAACATCTTGCAGTGGGATATATAAAATCAAGGCAGTGTAATGGTTAGCAAGCTTGTCTCGCTAGAACAATTATGGCTGAGTAGTGAATTCACTCCTCACTGGGTACCCCATACTTTTGGCCTTGTGCCACATCTAAGCTATGCTTGGAAAATCACTAAAAAATCAAGTGAATGACAAAGTTAAATGGCTGATTTCATTTTCAAGTCATTTAGACACTGTAAGAATGTAATATCTTTGAAAGGATTTATCATAAATGATATACAATAGCAATATTATTTATCTTTCAATAAGTTTTATATTTAACCAGCAGATATTTATAATAATTATCAGACTCTTTTGCTCCAAATGAATTCTTTTGTTTTAATGTTGATTCTACCAATAGGGCATACTTTCCAACAGCCTATCCCCCCCCAGTTTTGATTTAAAAAAATATTGTTATTCTATTAAGATCTGTTTTAAAAATAGTTTTTTGCAAAAATTGATCATAAAAACTCACACTATAGTTGAGTATATATATTTCTTTTGTGTTAAACACATTTTATGTAAGCAAACTGACTAAAGAAGCAATGGATCGTGAGCAGGACTTAAACTTTAGATGACGTGGCCAAGAACTGTCAGGAATATTTATTTTTCAAAGGTTTCAAGTGATATTTGCAAGGAAAATTAACAGAGTATATGTTAAAATTATCAAACATAAAAAAGTCATACATTTACTGAAAGAATATCTAATTTTCTTATTTTATCAAGGTTTATATATGAAAAGTAACAGTTCAATAAAACAGATGTAGTACTTTGCATTGTCACACTAGTAGACACAAGTATCAAATGCATCTTACAAAAAAAATTAAGGTTAGCAAATCATGACTGAATCATGGACACTAATTATAATTTTTTAATACCCTCTCAACAGAGTTATGTTTATTTTACAGAAAAAAGATCAGGCAGTTTTTATATTTTTGTATTAAATCAGTTTTATGGTAAGACTAAAAGGAAGTCCTCTATTAATGAGCTTGTTTCAGACAACCAAATGAGTGATTCAAACATGTACTGCTCTCAGTTTGAGTGACTGAATGCAGCAAATTGATAAAAAGAAAAGAAAAAATCAGAAATTATTTTCCATAAAAATGAAGGCAAAAATATATTTATTCATATATTAGGTTTGCCAAAAAGTTAATTGTTTTGTCATTGGATAGCATGAGAAGAGTTTCATTATTATTAACTTAATTCAAAAAGATTACTTTTGATTTTATTGTAATAACTATCATATCTGTGTTCCTTTTTTAAAGAAAATAATCAAAATTATTGTTTATTTAATCTGTCATTGAAGATAGAAGAAAACAAGTAACAGTTTTGGCATATTGTTTATTTTTATTTTAAGAAAAGTAAAAATTCAACTCAAGTGCAAAAAAAAAAACTTTGTAGTTTATGAAAGAAATGCCATAAATGAACAAACAACTGAAGTGATTTGTGAAATTTTGTGCTGAAAATTTCTTGTTGAATGATTAGATATGAAGTTGACAGACATCGAATCAAAAAATGGCCCAGAAGAAGGGACATTAAGCACAATCAGTCAATAAAACCCTGGGAATAAACAATATTAGACATTGATTGAGAGAGATTGAGAGAACCAATATTACAAAATAGCCAAATAAAGTGCTGAAGAAAATTTGCATCTATTTAGTTATGTTAGACACTTTAATGTAAGACTTCCATATAAGTGAAAAAAGATCTACTGGACCATATGTAAATGTTTCATTTTTTAACAAATTGGCATAGGTAATGAACCTGGCGGACTTGGGCAGGTGGATGACAGAATGTTTGTCTGGGAGACGAAGTAGAGGGAAGGAACTTGTTGAGAGCTGCAAGGGATAGAGGGAGGTGGAGAGCCATGATTGCCTATGTCCTGAAAGGACATGGCACATAAAAAGAAAAGAAAGAATGAAAAATATGCTGTATACAAATGCCATTTTACATTTCTACCAATTCCCAGTCATCTCCCTTATATTGAAACGCTTGTTTTTGTAAAAAATTCCATAACTACAATGGATGAAATTTAAAATTCTAAAATAACTATAACAGAATGCATTCACGTGTTTTTAAAAATCACTATGACAACGGAATGCAAATTTTATTGCATTTACAATAACATGTTTGTCATTGTAATTTATCCCTGAAGATGATCTTAGAAAAGGTCAAAAGTACTTGAGTTAAAAATAACTATGGCACCTTCCTTGATGAATTTCATCTTAACACCATGAAACTGATTAGACAACTGGAAAGGATCACTATAAAAAAAAGTAGACACAATATGTCTATATTATTTAATGAAACATGTTTGATTTAAAAGAACGAACAATGACTGTCTGTTTTATCTTTTATTATATTTTTCCAATTTTAAGTTGTTGAATAAGGTGTTCAAAATTGTGGGTAAACTCTCTGGAGTTCATATTGTGTTATTATTTTGTTCAAGTACTTTTGACCACCTTAGTCATTATTAAGAACCAATGGTGGTGTCTCTGTGTTAATTAGAATTCCTTTGTATACATCCTGGTATTCTTTAGAAAGCTGGAAGTTTGAAATTAACTACACTGACGTCATGTGTAATGGTTATTTGGAATGACAAGAATACCAGGATGTTGATAAAAGTTGGTTCTTTTTAATCAAACTTGTTTGGATGAATACTTGATGCCTAAATATACCTTTATATATTTATATAAATGGACACTGAGGTCAACACCAAGTGGTGACAGTCTGTTTCATGCTTGAACACAATTTTCAGATCTGCTTAGTTTTGACCTCAGTGTCCACTTTTATATTTGCATACACTCTATAACTGATATTGAACATTTTTACCTATAAATATAACACACATTGAAACTCTATTTTGATACTAGAATTTTTTGCCACATGTTGACACATGTTGAAATCCTCACAATATTTAGTATTGTTGAAGCTATTGCTATCATTTTTTGTTGAGATTTAAAAACTCTACATTCAAGTTATGTGTGTTGTGTTTTGGCTTGACTATTTGTATATGCTGGTTAATGGTGCATTTTGGGTAGTAAGGTCTATTATATTATTCTAATGGTTATTAGGTGGACAATAACAGCCATGTTTCAAATTATTCTAGAAGCTATTGAGTAGAAATAATTGTGGGTCTGAATGTGATCATCTGTAGCTATTTTATAGGGTTGTTTTTTCATTTATATAGTGGATTGCATGCAATGCTTTATTGTGCTTTTGAACTGTCTGTTAATTTGTAAATTGTGCAGTAAATTATTTAAAAATATCAACCAATTAAAATTAAAAAAAACAAATAAAAAATTCAGTTATAACATTCTGCATTTACATTTGGTATCTACTAGTAATATGTAATTACTAAGAAATACACTTTTTTCCACAAAAAGTTTAATCGTACTCTTTTGTCCATATGTAGTTTTTGAAAATTTTATTTATTCTTTATGAAAATTAAATCATAGCATTGTAGTTGTGAGTCGGCTCCCTTTGTATCCTAGCAACTAATATTTTTAGACCCCAGTCTACCACTGCCTATAGCACCGACCATTTTGTTTATACTTCTCCACTTTCAACTTTTATCTGTTCAGGTTAATGAAAAATGAACTACACAAACAACATTTTTCAGATAACAATGTTGTTATTGCTGCTTCTGTTGGTGCAGATTTTTACAAGCATGAAATGGAGGGTCTTGTTCATCACTGGGGAAAATGAATAGCTAATAGTCAGTTAAGTGCCATACGGGATACATGCTTGAGTGACCATGTATCTTTTGATACATGACTAACAAGGCAAATTTTTTCTTGCAGTAGGTTGCCATTTCTTTCTGCATTAGACTGGCTGCCAACCAAGGCTAAAGAATCCAGTCTGTCCTGCTATTCAACCCATAGCTGGGGAGAGAAGAGATGGATTCATACCTTTCCCAAGTGTATTTGTGTGTAAGTGAATCTAATGTACTCAACTGAAATTTGAACTCGGCTCTCCAAGTTGTCACTCCGAACCGATAACCATTACGCCACAACGCACATCCAGGGAGACTATATGTTGAAAAATAGTGTTTTGTAGCTGAAAACCTGCTTTATCTATCAGTGTCATTGCACTCCCAGGAAATAAATGGGAGGCATTCATTTCAGGGCATCCTTTGTATATAAAGATATGTATCTTTAATATTTTTATGGTTGCAATGTATACAAAATCATCCACATTAATAGTCAATCCAAAGAAAGATGACTTTTGATTGAAATCTGTTTTCCATTTTTTCTTGCAGCTGGAGTTATTGGTTCTCCTGGTCTGTTATCTTTTGCCATGATCCGTACTATTGTGTCCCACCTGACTGATCCATCAGAACAAGGTAAATATTTTCTTTTGTCTCTTTTTCCAAAAACTCACAAAGAACACTAACTCTGTTGTCAGAAGTTCTTTTACTCCTCACAGATTCCTTTATATCTTGAACCTGACTGCTGAATGAGTGATTTAAAATTAAAAAAAAAATGTTAGCATATGAAAAATATTCCTTTTTTGCATATAATCAAAATTTGTTTTTAATTGTATATGGAGAATATTATTGTTATTGGCATCAAAAGTTTAACCAGCTTCCATTTGTATGTATTTTGAAGTACAAACTACCTTAATATTAAAAAACTTTTTGAAATAAGAAACAAAACTTAACCAATTGCATATAGTTTTTTCTTAATCTTTCTTATCTTGAAAGAATGCTCTTCATGTTTGTTCTCAAGTCAAAATTTACATAATGCTTAAAATAATGATTAGTATATTTAACACATTTACCATATGAGATCAATATATGGAGGTTGATGTAGATGCAGGTAATAAATAAACTGTCTTATGAAATCATTTCCACAGGTAACTTGCTATAAGAATACATTGTAAATGATTTATATTAGAAAACATTGCAAATTATTATCTACTGAAATGCATTGTAAAGTATTCTATTATTGTTGTGGTGTCCTCCCTTTAAAGAGTCTATATTGGACTCTTCCACCTACTATAAGATTAGTAAGAGAGAAAGCCTTAAGGGAACAGTCGAATAGATTGAATGCTGGATCAACTGACACACACTTACTAGTTGTGTAATACTCTTCTGTTGTACTTACTGTTTAATATATGATATGTCTGTGACACTTGTTTTGTTATTTCTTTAACCATTTACTTGGTCATAACATCTTCCTTCTCTCCTACTAATCTTATAGTAGACAGAAGAGTCCACTATAGACTCTTTAGATGGAGGACACCACAACAAGTATGGAAGATCATTGCTGAAGATTTATTATAGAAATTCATTACAAATTATTTCATAGAAATATATTGTAGAATACAATCATTAGAAATGCAACAAATATTTTCTATTTTTAGAAATGCATTGTTTATAATTTTTGCAATAAAGTTTATTTGCATATAATTTGCCACATAGTGGGTATAAATAATATGATTAAAGAAATACATAGCAAAAAATTTTACAATAGAAGTGTATTTGCAAACAATTTAATATTAAAATAAATGGAAAGGATTTACTATTGTACAATGTTAAATTACACCAAAACAAAGACAAAAGTCCATGTAAACACATGTCTGCAAATTCTTCACTTTTGAGTTATTAAATTTAAAGCAACTTTATGGTAGATGATGTTGTGTTGTCATGTAGACTAGGTTACATTTGTCATTTGTGTACATTTGTGGCTAGTTTGTTTTTAATATTTAACATGTGTAGTAGAGAGTTAACTGAGAAGTGTTCTGTTTAAAAATGGCAGGATATTCACATTGTGAGCAAGTAGATATGATTTTTACATATGGCTGTGTGAATGTTAATGAATGTGAGGCTGCATGGCTGTATCAGATTGCGTTTCCAGACTGAAGGCAGCCAAGTCATCCAACCTTTGCATATATTACCACAAACTATGGATTTTAGAAGACCGTGATCTGCTCATACACCTGACCATAAAGAATATATTCTACAGGCTGTCGGAGACAATCCACACACATCAAGTGGCCCTAACATGTTGTACATCTCATAGTACCTCATGGAGAGTACTTCAAGAGCAGCTCCTGTATCCATATCATTTGCAACACGTGCAGGGTCTTTTGCACATTTTAGTCACATTGTTTACAATGCACTGGCTGACATATACCATGAAAGATGAATAGGTAGGGGATGACTGGTTACAAGGCCTGCACATTTGCCTGACCTCAATCCTTGGGCTTTTTTTATCTGTGGGGCCACATAAAACAATTTGTTTATGCAACAGACATTAATAATTCAGAGACATTTCATCAACCTGTCATAGGGGCCTGCAAAACTATTTGACACCATCTAGGAGTATTTGAAATGGTCTGTCAGTCAATGATCTGATGAGTGCATGTATGTGTAGAAGCAAATAGAAGACATTTTGAACATTTGTTATTAGTTGCTGTGTTGAGGTACAATGATGGCATTTTGGACATATGCTTATATGAACATTTTACCTAGTTTTGGTGTCAGGAACCTTCCCTCCAAAATTTGTAAAAGTATTTTTGATACACCTGTATATATTGCAAACTCACTGGAAATGAAATTTTATAAAAATATTACAAGAGTGCCTTCAATTGAATAATGTGAAGAAAATAAACTGGAAATTCATTGTTAGTGAGTTTGATGCTTAATAAATGTTCCATTGTTGTGATTATACAAGAAGTAGAACTAAATAAATAATTACAAATATCATAGAAATAACAATTTTATATATTATTTATTTTTTATTTTCAAGGTTCTGTTTTTGCTGGTCTGGGCACAGTGGAAGCTTTATGTGGTATGACCAGTTCAGTCATGTTGAACACAATCTATGCTCATACGCTTTTGTGGATGAAGGGATTTGTATTCATTGTGGTTGCCATTAGTTGTCTTATCCCAGCTTCACTTCTCTTGTAAGTTAAATTTTTTACCAACTTCTTTTTTTTTTAAATAAAGGATAATATTCTTTAAAAAGATTAAAAGTATCAAGGTTCAAATGTTGATAAAATTTTGTTTGTATAGCTTTAGACAAAAATCTTGGATTCTTATATTTCATTATCATCAGTGGCATTTTTTTCTCATATCCAAGAATCTAAATTCTTTTTTGCTTCCTTTATGATGATGGTGTTGATGACTACATTCACCGCCAACATGCAGGTTCAGGACTAGAAGCTTCCAGTTTTACCAAAATCTGCTCCTGCCATCTATTCTCTATTACCGTTTGGCTTTGCAAGTGTTGGTTGGAGGTGAAAGAAAACCAAAGTAGAAGAAAGGGCTGACAATGTGGAGAGAAACAGTCAGGAGGTTTCATGAAATTAGAATACTCTGATGATGAGAATGAACAAATGTCAATATTTAGGATGAAAATAAGTTTATAAAACATGCTTAAATTTTAAGACTAAGACTGATACTATATAGTTCAAATTAATTTTCATGTATATATACAGAAATATAGAAAAGAAATAATTCATCAATAAGTGAAGAAAACAAGACATTTTCTCAATAAAGTATCAACATAATAATTATCTATGATGCTAAAAAAATCAGCTTTTGATGCTATATTAAATAATTTTCTTGACTTGCAAAGTTAGAATTTATTATTTATGTTGTGATATGTATTAGTATAGGTATGGATCAGAGATTGAGGGTGGGGTCTAGAGACTACTGCTATCCCTGGGCAAAGCACAATTTTATAATAATATCCTTTTTTTTTTTTTAAACATTTCACCCCAAGCAAGGCAATATAGCCACTAAGACACAAAGGGTTACTAAGTGTTAGAGAAAAGAAAAATATTATTAAGAAGAGAGAATAAAAGAACAAGAATTAAGAAGACAAAAGATAATTTTTTAAGATCAAAGTTGACTGGAAAGCTAGAAGCTGAAATAGTTCCACAAGTGAAAAGTACAATAGAGGAAATTGTTAGCATAGTACTTTCATTTATATCTAGCCACTTCAACTGTAATATAATGAGACTTTGCCACCAATCTAGTACTGCACTTAAATTCATAAAGTCTAGGTACCATAGAAGAAAGTTCGTCAGAACCTAGATAAAGAAATTTTATAAATAAAAAAAAAACAAATAATCCCAATTAATCCTAAATTAATGTTAAAAACAAAAAATAAAGCTACTATGGTGGTTGATCACCATTTTAATTTTATTGTAGGTGTGATTTCCACAAATGTTTTTCTCTCCCCCTGCTTCTGTTCAAAGTCATCAAGCATCAGCATTATAAGCAGGCTCTCAAAACAAAGTAAACACACACACACACACACACACACACACACATATATATGAATTGGGATCAAATATAGATCCAATATGGATCAGAATTGGACAGAATTCTTGGATCTTTGAAGGGACATGTCATCTCTCCTTGAATTCAGAACACCATAAGTTATAATAACGTTTGTTTAACAAGTCGAATGCATGTAAAGCCTGATTAACCAACGAAAATCAAACAACACAAAATATCAGACTTTCTGTCTTCTTTTTCTTCATGTCATTCTCTGATGAAGCTTTAATAAAAGTGAAACATGTTAGATTGATAAATATTCCTACTTGTTCTTTATCATATCATATATATATATATATATATATATATATATATACATTTATTTATTATGCAGTGTTACATTAGAACATGCACATGTGCAGGTTCTAATGTAACACTGCATAATAAATAAATATTTACAGTTCTACTTTTGTATTGAGCCCAGTTTTAAATTAATGTTTTGAATGCTGAAATCTTATCTTACTCTCCGTTCTTTTACATCATTTGGATATATATATATATATATATATATATATATATATATATATATATATATACACCAGCCATTTTCCAACATCTCATGTTTGTAGAGACATTACTAATTTTTGCAATATAGATGTGCCCAAAATAAAAACAAACAAAACTCTAAAAAGATCTTAGTCTCATTTACTATTTTTAGAAGCATACTTATCAAAAATATTAAAAGCTTTATTTATTTATTATCTAAGCCAATATATTTCAGTAATGTGTAATCATGCTACATCTTTTATCAATTTTCACAATAATACCTAATCTTAAGGTTCAAGTTTTGTTTAAATCAACTTTAATATAAGGATTGTAAAATCATTAGTATTTTAATAAAGGATTGTAAAATCATTAGTATTTTAATAAAGGATTGTAAAATCATTAGTATTTTAATAAAGGATTGTAAAATCATTAGTATTTTGGTTAATAATTATTTCTATCCTTCTTCACAGTCAATATGGGTATAAAACTGATCTAAAATATCCCATTACTGATAATATGACATTGATAAATAAAATCATACATAATACCAGATGTATTCATTTTTATCTGCTCTTTTCTTTTTTATTGTTTACTTTTTTTATCTCTTCAACAGCAACTTAAAATATTGTTAATTGAAATTTTAATTAACCTTGCTCAGTCAACAAAAACTGAATTATTCATCACAAAATACCAAGAATCACATTAAAAAGACATATTTTAAAATTTGTTTTTTCTTTTAATATATAACTCATTTTACTGAAGTAAATGACCATTTATTGTGAATTATTAAAAATTTCATCAGAGTTCTTTTTCTGCCTCATAGATATGTCAAATTTTTTTAATTGTGTTCTCATAATTTACAATAGAAATAAATCATTTTTGTTTTTAATGTATTAAATCAGATTAATTTAGTATAAAAATATATTAAATTTTATTTGTTTTTATAACAAGGGTTGAAAATTAAATTATGATCATAATACATATTAATTATTTTATTCTTGGGATAAAAATAATTTTCTCTAAATGATTTATTATGTAGTGTACATCTAATTTCAGTTAGAACTAAATTCAAGTAAATATGTGATGATGATGATCATCATCACACACATACATACATACACAAAATCAAATTATACAATAACAAGTATTCATTGGATAATAAATCAACACTACTGTGTAATGGACAATTTATAAATCGCAGCTATGCAGCAATTTTATAATCGCTATATTTTCATCTAGTCGATTTCATGCACTTTTGGGAGAATCGGATCCCAAAGGCTTTCTTAGGTCCCCCAAAACTCGCTCGCTAATTGGTCAATAAACACACAAATGGGTGTTGCAATCCACCCACGCACAATATATTTTTTTAGCACGTGACTAAGTCAAGTTTCCCGCTAAGAAAATCTGCTGAGAACAATTATTACAAGAAACTCTCACAAACTTTCTTTCATTGAATTTTGGAACACAAATAATAGTTAAAGAGAGACAACTCTTGTTTTACTTAATGCATGCTTTTCTTTCACATCTTTGTACATCTTGTTAAATACAAATTTTATGTGTAATGATGTCTTTGGCTTATCCTTTTTTCTTCACGTCAGTTTGGTTTCCTAATCTAAATTAAATTAATGTGGTGAAGTCTGCCACAAATATAATAGACATATTTGATGAAACAATTTAAAATGGTTTGTTCAATTTTTTTAATATTTTGAGCTTGATTTCATTTTATTTTCAACAGAACACTTCATTTTGTGAACAAGAAAGAAAAGAAGACAAATATCGAAATCTCTCTTGATACAAATACTACTACAGATTCATCCAATATCAATACTGAGGAACAAGCAACAGTAACACCAGCAGTGAATGAAGCTTATGACCCGGATGTAAAGCTGTGATCAAGGGAGACAATTTAGATCTACTTTGAATTAATATCCTCAATTTTTGCCAAACAATAAATAAGTTATATATACAGTCTTGATTTATCATAAAGAAGTATTTTTTTATGTAAGTAGAGATGTTTATTCAAAACTATATATTTTTGGAAAAATAGGATGATAATATCTGATTTCCTTTCTTTTAACAACACATTTTTTTAAGGCCATTGTAAAAACTTATTAGAAACACCATCAACAAACTGTTATACATATATAAAACTTTGTATGAATTTCTGAAAAATATATTAATAATAATCAAAATATATAGCATCATTTTCCTTTTTACATATTTGTTTATTAATTTTTAAGTTTATAATCTAAGTAAAAAAATTCAAAATTCTTCCAAAATTTATCAAACTTAAATATTTTTAAATACCAGAAAGGTTATTAATGTTGTCAAAAATTTCAATTAGATATTCTTCAGTGAGAGTTGAGAAAAAGTATTTACTTTTTAATTTGAACTTAGCTTTGAATTAATTTTAACAAATTATTTCTTCAGATTATCATTCTGTTATACTCTGCTTCAAATTAAACCTCTTTCTGATTCACTCCACATCAAAACCTGTCAGCCAGATGTGAATGCTATGAAAGAAAATTTAAAAATAAAAAAGTCGCTCTCTTTGCAGGGGTCCTAATCATCACATCTGGCTCATGATCCCCTCCACACCACCACCACCAAAAAAAAATATATTAAAAAAAATTTAAAAGGAGCCAATCATGAACTTTGCTACAAAAGCAAAAAAAAAAAGAAGCTGCAACATGTATACACCTTGACTGTTTAAAAGGGCCTATTTGCAAAACTCAAGGCAGTTGCAGGTGTCATTGACATCACCTGTGGCCGCCATTAACTGACGTGACAAAGTACAAGGCCCTACTGACTCTCCCATTCTTCAGGTCACTTTTCTTATCCACAAAGAGACATTCCACCTTGATCCTTTATATCAGTAATACAAAATATTTTATTTTAACATATCTTGTTTTTTCTTTCTGCTTCACGAGCAGTATTTTGTTGTTTTCATTTGTTTTCATGCATCCATACAAGGTATATAACTTAAGCATTTTTTTATTGACATAAAAAAGAAATTTTCTTTCTATAATTCTTTTTCAGTAAAAATCATTGGTTAAAATTTCAACAGATTTTACTAAGAGACAATTCAGTATCTTTCATGAAATTACTTTAATCGAATTGATGCAATACATATGACTGCTTTTTATATGTATTTTTATGTTTTACATTTTCAAATGATTTGATGGATAAGACTTTCATATATATTTAAAAAATAATTTTATTCAGATAATTTTCACCTCACCATAGATCTAGAATTATTCAATAACTGCCAGGTAATTTCAAACATCTTGTATGTATAAATCATGTAACCAAAGAGATTATAAGTAGGAATAAAATTATTTTATATCAAAAGAATATTATATCAATCACTCATTATGCACACATACATACAAAAAAAGCAACTGTTTATCATAATATTGCAAATTAGTTTTATATCATCAAAGTAATTCCTGGCATGATCATTGTTTTGGTATGTGGTGACTGGCACCATCCAGTTAGAATAAAGGTAATTCATAATACAATCTAATTCAGCCAGTTTATTAAGTGGCTGATCACTTAAATTTACTTATACATCTGCCTAGGAGAAGGAAACTACAATGGAAGACCTATAACCTATATACCTTACTACTATTGTCTTATTTACATAGCCCTTCTAGTAAAGACTGTCTATAAAGTTAAGTAGAATATATGTTAAAAACTTATATAAAGTTCAAACTTAAAATCTTTTAGCTAATGTATTTTGGTTTTGCATAAAGTCTGGGATCAGAGCATATGATCTGATTCAGCTATCTTTAGAGTCAGTTTAAGAGTGGCAGACCTCTTGTTCACTTAAATATTCACCTAAAAGAATAACCCCAACAGAATAACCTAAACCATTAGGGACATTACTTATATTTTACCACTTGGGTTGGGCCTTGTAAACATATATATATATATATATATATATATATATATATATATATATATATCATTTAATGGATGAGATTAATAACATGCATGACACACCTTACTATAAAAAAATTAACTGCACAGGTCTAAGAGCATTCCAGAGTCCCAATTCAAAGAAAAGTGGCAACATTATAAGACAGGACATCCATCTAGTCACCAGATATTCTGCAACTTCTGTTAAAAAAGACTTGTTTGCCTCATGTGGACTTCACTTGGTTGCTGATTAACCAGCAAAAGACATGAAATCCTTTTCTAAATCTGTACCTGGGCTGTCATAATTTGGAAATAGCATGTAAAATTGCAGCCTGAAAAGTTCCATAATATTTTCTATAATTTTTCAAGTGAAGATAAAGGATAAAAACTGTAAAAAAACATGCAACTTTTTTTTAACAACCATGCTTTATTGTTACAAGAGTTAAATAAGATCAAAAATTACAGATCGCTGCCATAACTGGGATGGAGCTGCACAATCTTGACTTTTTAGTTTTGATAGTTCAAAATAGTTTGCTTGGTCTTGTGGGTGGAAAATTATTTTCCGCTCTGCAATCTCTTTCTTACAGGCACAACACTGCAAGCCTTTTTCCAAAGCTAAAATCGCCATTAAAACAATATGATCAAGATTAAGGAGAATGCAACAAAACAGCTGATGGCAATCACAAAATGAGCAATTTAAAGACTTTTAAAAAGTGGAAACAATACAGGAATACTTTAAAAGAAGACTAAAGTGTCATTGTTTTAAGAAAAGTATGTTTTTTTTATTTGAATATTAAAAGGTTGGATACTTACCAAATAAATTTTGTATACTTTTTCTATAGGACTAATTGAAGTTAAATGTACAACTTTGATGAGTATAATAATAATAATTATTATTATTATACAGTATGCAGCAAAAGTAACATCCTTTTTTTTTTAGATGAGGTGGATAGGATAACATGGAGCAATTGAGTGGCCTTCACTATCACCAGACCTAAAAACACCAAACTTTTTCTTGTGGAGTGTTCTGAAAGATTTTGTTACAGGCTCAAACTGAAAATAATTCCTAAATTAAAACAATCAATTTTTGATAATTTTTCTAAAATTAATGTAAAATGTATCAAATGGTTTGTAGAAATGTTGCTGATAGGGATCAACATTGTATTGGACATGAAGGGGAGATTTTGAACATGTTAAATAGTTTGTTAATCATAACACATCATGTTGGGGCACTCGATGTGGTGTAATGGTTAGCAATCTTGTCTTGCTAGATCAAATACGGCTGAATAGTGAGTTTGATCTTCACTGGGTGCCCCATACTTTCGGCCTTCTTGTTCCACATCTAAGCTACACTTAGAAAACCACCATAACAAATCATATTGTTTTCATGTAACAATACTTAGAAATTTTCTTAAACTAATGTAATTTATTTTTGTTCAATAAAAGTTAATAAATGAAAAAGGGTGTTACTTTTACCACACTTTGTAGTTTCTTTCTTGAATGAATAGTTATATAAAGTAACAAACTACAACAGCAAAAAACAAATAATGAAGAAGAAAAAAAGTGAAGAATCATAGCAATGTGAGTTTCAAATTAGAGAGAAAATCCTTTTAAGAAATTTATTTTTCAACTTGTAATATAAAACTGATAAATGCATAAGTGATTGTTTACATATTCTTAAGTGAAATCAATCTGAAGCATTGTCATATCTTACACATTTTTGGGTAGTAAAATTATTTATCTTTTTATTACTCAAGTACACAGTTATGTTAAATGTTAATCTCCATTTATCTGCATCAAAATCTAAATTATGAACTGTAATCCTGGTTGTATGATAATAATCAAGCAAGATTAATTCTGCTTTGAGATTCCTCTTTCCAAAATCAGTTAACACTAAAGGATTCAGATGTTAATGACTTTAAACTAGCAACCAAAATTTGTTTAATCAGTTTAGTTTATCAATATACATGATGCAGCAAATACTTCACATGATTTTCTTTAAAAGATGAAACAACACTTATATCTTTGCATTAAACTTCAGTGAAGGTAGAAGACAAGATCAATTTGATTCAATTGATCAGTTTGTTCAGAGCTGGATGGAATATTTTCAACTGAAATATATTTCTAGCTTAACATTTTTTAATAGTCTGAATGTTTTTTGAACACTGCTGAGCAATAGGATTTTTGTAAAACTATTTCCTCTTGTCTTACACCATAATAATTAGTGAGTTAATTAGTTTGACTCATTTTAAATCTGCAACCCTGAGTTTTCAACAGAGATGAACTACAAACTTGTAACAGAAATATTTTTTCATAACAGAACAAAACAATTCTTGAAAGCACATTGTTAGACAGAATTAAATTACATATTTTTTAATTAAGCAGTTGGAAAAAAACCTTTTCAATATGGTTGAAGACAAGAAGCAAAAAGTAGAAAATCTTGAACCCAAAGCAGAATACACTGATTCTCTTGTTGAAAATCTCTCTTGGAGACACTATTCTTTCTTTATTATTCGTTTTATACAAAGCATTTTGTTTGCTATCTCCTACCCTCCTATGAGACAGTACCTATATGCCAAAATAGCCAACAAATATATAATGAACACAACTTATGCAATCAATTCTACCTTTGACAGAGGTGGAAATTCTCTGTGTTGGTCAAAGAATGCTTCTTTAGACCGAGATAATACACAACAAAAGGTCCAGTCTGAAACAGCAATGTGGAATCTATATTTTAACTTAGCTGTTGGTATTCCACAAATACTAATGTGGTTTTACTTAGGTTATTTGACAGATATTATTGGACGTAAGCCAATGATGATACTCAACAATTTTGGCTATATTATTCGCCTTTTTATATATGCTGTGGTGATATACTGGGACCTAGCCACAGTCTATCTTCTTATTGCCTGCATGTTTGATGGTATTTCTGGGAGTTATGCAGGCTATAATCAGCTCACTCTTATTTACACAGCTGATGTCACAAAAAAAGGTAAACAAAGAGGATTTTTCCTCACAGTTGTCTATTCCCTAATGGATATCATTTATGGGATTGTCAACATATTGTCTGGTTACATTATTAAAGCTTTTGGATTTTTTTGGCCAATATTTATCTCAGCAATAGTTCTGTTTATTTTAAATGTGGAAAAGTATTTTTTGGTTGCAGAAACCCTTGAACAAAATTCTAAACCCAAAAAACTGAGCCCTACAAAAGGCATCAAATCAGTTCTTAGTTTTTATTGGCATAAAACTGAAGAAGATGATGGGAAAACCAGATTCAAATTCTGGCTTTGTCTCATTTCATTTGCTATGCTTATGCAAGGAATTTATGGTAAATGGGATGTGTCACCTTTGTTTGCAATGAATTCACCTTTTTGTTGGACAAGTGTAGAAATTGGTCATTTCAGTGGTGTTGTGCTTTTCCTTCAACCAACAGTAACAATTCTAACACTGTACTTTTTGCAACGAATTTTTACTCATGAAGTGATTGCTGTTTTTGGATTTTTATCCCTGATTGCCGAAAATCTGGTCTTGGCTTTCGCATCAAAAAGTTGGATGTTTTACCTTTGTAAGTATGTTTTAAAATATTTTATATTTATTTAAAATTATGAGTTAAATTATCATTGGAAGTACAGAGAAAAGCTATCATCAATGTTCTCTTACCT